AATGACTAATATATTCTGTACATGTAAGTCTCTCTGTGTAACACATGGTATTAAGTCATTGTCGGGTATAGAATTGCAATGAGGGTAGGGGCATGAGGGTAAAGATGGTCTACTGTTCTCTTATAATGTCATTTATATTCACTCCAGGACCCTGTATCATTCTTTATTGCATTTAAAAGCATTCATGCATTTCCTTCTGATAATGTACTTGGGCTCCATCCTCCTGTATTGTGTGTAGGGGTTAATACATGCACTTATGCTTTTTAATGAAGTATGAGTACAGGATTCTTTATTCTTTAATTGTGAGTTACCAAGTTTTTCTTTCATGTTGATTCAAAGGGTCATTGTGCAGTATGAAGATCCTCAAGACTATAGTGCAAACAAATTGAGCTCTCTTCCTCAAGGAGATTCATCTCTAGTTTTCTTGTGATTCGTATTATCTGATACTTATACTCTTTTAAAGAGTACTCTTTAAAGACTGGTATTTTACTTAGATAACCTCACCTAATTCAGTTTGATCTACATGTATATTAGGCTTCTCCAGCAAAGGTTTTGGGTAGTCAGAGGGCCACTTGCTAGACGTTTTTTCTAGCAAGTGTCCCTTTGACTTCCCAAATTCTTTACTGGAGACTAGCCTAATATACCATGGCTGTCAATTCCATTGTTCGATTGAGAGGGGTAGTTAATTGCAAGATGTCACATTATCAAGAGATTTTTGACTGACATCACTAAAGGAGGGCAATACATTTTGTTTTATATACCGTTGTTCATTTTTGAAAAAAGGTCTATTTTTGTAAATCATTCATGCTGAAAATCCATATGATACGAAACACAATATGAACAAAGTGTGATTGCATATATCATATTTGTAATAATATTATTTTAATGCAAATTAGGTCATATTTCAACTAGACACTGTATACATTATAGTGCTGTTTGTTGCATGCACCTGGTACTCACTTCATATTACATAGGCATTAACATGCAAAATGTCACTACCTGCCATTTGTTACAGATGCATTACTCAAAATGCCAACAGTCAAACGCAAACCACTGAACACCATTCATAAAATAGTTGGAGGCTATAACAATATGCCACCACTAGTAGTGGTGACATAATAAATAGTACCATTATACTAAGCTCACATGGAGTAAAGGTTTTCAGTGAAAGTGAAAACATTTATGACCACGTTCACCATATTACACAATAACAACTATGATTGCACATTGAATTTTCTTAAAATTGAAAAATGGCTACCATGACAGTCTCAACTAATACAAACCAGTATTTACCTAAAAACCTAATCAGCTATAGAACCGAACCCAAAATACTTTTGATTTTTGAAAAGGAAAGCAGTAGCCATTTTGAAATTTAGAGAATATTGTAATGCTGGTATATATTGTATACCTTTTCATTTTTGTGAGAAACATAACGATAACAATTATATAAGGGATGGTAATGAAGTTTTCATAAAATGATTTATTAATCCAGGAAAAACTACAAAGAATAACAGGAATACTTTTAAAATGGTTACCATAGCAACCAAATGTAAAGGAATCCAGGATAAATTAAAGATGGCAAGACCTCCATTGATCATATATGAATACATAAGAAGCTTTAAAATAAGCTATTGAATACATTTAAATGTTTACTTAAATGTTCATTTTATTGGAGGTCACTCTCACGAGTATTTATCATTAGTCACTTGACTTTAGCTCACTATATCAGCTATTTCTAATTAATATTAATACATTTTTCATGGATTAATAAATTCTAGGGATATATATGAGAACTCTTTGATCACCCCTTGTAAATCAACAACTATTCCATTCTATTAAATGAATATTCATCTTTCTCTCATTATAGTTCCTTGGCTAAAAAAATAGATTGAGGGTAGATGATTGTGAAATTTCTAGTGATCCGCTTTGCCCATCATGCTGATATCTTTTACTTATTGAAACACAGAATCCATATTATACTAATGATCTGTTAGATATAACACTCTGACATTTTAGTAATAATTAATCATTTCCCGGATAAGAACAATTTAATATCATAACAAAATTGAAATGTATTGGAATACAGACTTACTTTTTATATTTTATTAAATCACTTTCTTTTTTGCATTGTATTGACTGGACTGGAAATATCACAGGTATTCACCTCAATAGAATGAAATGTTTGTATAGTATTAATCTGTATTACATACCTAACGAAGCATTTGTATGGAAGTCAATAGGAAAGTTTGATGACTATACCCAGTGATATTGCCAGATTACCCCGATATAGCCTGCGTACCTCGTTTTGATATTCGATTTCTTTTATAACCATGACAAAATCAGAACGTCATGTCTGATTTCAATCAGATTCTACTCGCACACAGATGTGTGACATCACTGATACAAAGTAGCCATTGGAATAAAGGTATGTAATACATCAGTTATGTCACTTACTATGACATGAAATATGCCTTCGTTCTTGCCCAAATATAGACCCTCCCAAAGCCGGCCTTTATTGGGAGAACTCGTGCATATTTCACGTCATTGAGACATTCCTCTAAAAATAGAATGGAAAAGTTGTATATAATTTATGCACAAATGTATTGAATTACACATATATTAATAAATGTATATTATATATCATTTAATTGTTTATACAAATGTAGTACAATTAATTTATTGATCTCATAACACTGAAAGTATTCCTATATTATTGCACTTTGTTTTAGTTTAATACAGGGTGGTCAAATAAAACGGCAACCCTAGTTTTTCCTAATATCTTTGTCATTCTAAGAAATAACTCCCTGATACTTTACACATTTGTACATCATTCAATTTCCTACCAACCTATCATATTTCATGACCATCGGACTGATAGTCACAATATTACTGCATTTTAAGCACTTGATATAGTAGTGGAAAGGCACCTTCACAAGACAGATGCACAGTTTAGTGTGTTCTCAGAAGATAGGGTCCTTTACCTCTGATGATACCAACGTACAGTATATGCAATAACTGTCAACATCAAACTCTATTTTGTGATTCCCATGGAGTTCCTGGGGACTTTAGGTGAACCCAGGGGGGTTGATAGGTAGCAACAGTGGTTCCAACAAGACAGAACCATACTCCATACACCCAATGATGCACAATAATGGCTTTGGGACCACTTCAATGACAACATTATCAGCAGTACAACAGACAATGAATGGGCACCCCATAGCCCAGATATGGCCCCATTTAATCTTTACCAGTGGGGATACCCCAAAGATAGAGTGTAGGATAATAACACCAGAACGACATTTGACCTCAAAATAAAGATCACATGTGTCATTCAGGCCATACTTGCTGAGGAATATAGTTATGTCATTGACAGGTTTGGAAAATGTGTGCAGGTTTGTCTACAGCACGATATTGGAAAAAATTGGGGCACCTTGTTTTATTGCGACATTGCGACTATCGGTCCAATGTTCATGAAATAAAACAGTCTAGTATGAAATCGAATGATGTACATGTGTGTTAAATATCAGGGCAAAATACTCAAAAATGACAAAGATATGAGGAAAAATTAGGGTTGCCGTTTTTTGACCACCCTGTACAATGCATTTTTATGAGAGGGGTAAAGTTTTTTAATCCTTTGAGCCCCATAGCTTAAAGATTGAGCCAATTTTCAAAAACCTATGCTCATTCTCATTTATTACGCTAGCCTTGGAAATGAGGCCAAAAATGCTCCCAAGTCTGCCATTATGCTTTATCATTTTATTATAACATTTACTTAACACAGAATGCCCATTACTCAACTCTAATATTTCATCATATATGACACCAAAGTGTGATGTATGACTCACTGTGAAGAAATACACTCAGTTGCATTAACCTCTCAATTCCCCTCTCCACTGTGAATCCTGCAAACCTGCTGCAGGTTTTTTGACACAAAGTGTGATATATCGTTAGAACAAAATTCCACCATGAATATCTTTACATTAAGGTTTTACAAAATCAAGCAAGGGGAAAATGAGAATAAAGGTAACAGATTTTTTAAAATTTGGAATAAATATAATTTTTTATAAACTGGACTTATGTTGGAAGAAATGAGAGATTTGATTATTGAGATCAGGAGAAATATGTTTTAAAACCGGAGAATTAGGAGAATGAAAAATAGTGATTAATTGTGAGTAATGGTAAGTATATAATAGTTGGTTACAAGCCGCTTATATCATACTAAGTCACAGTGTCACATAGTGAAAACTCTAGAAATACAATTACATGTATGTATATTTCCAGCTGACATTCATGTAATATTGAATCATCTCAGATCTAAATGTTGTGCAGAGAAAGAATAAGTCAATATAATGTGCACTTCAACTGAAGAGGATTATTATAAAAGATATTCAAAGGGCAGATTTTCTATGTACGTTCTGAAAATCTGACTTATATGTAATATACATGTACATGTAGATATGAATTTGGCATAAGCCATGGCTAATATGAACAATTAAATCAACAATGAGAAAAACGATGAAGCTTTAGAAAGCCTTTCTCTCTGTAAAATCACTTATTCAATACTTAATAAAGGAATTAGAAGGCATACAGATGTAGAATGTTGGATGCAATCATTTCTAAAGCCATACACTCCTAATTCCTGTTTTTATAAAAGAATTCAGATAAATAAATATAAATGTTATTGAAGATTTATGATGCAGACATGTCCAAATTCATTAAAATTAGGACACCCTCTTTTCCATTTTTTAGCCAGATTCAACTTTATTTAAAGTCTGAACTGTTTGACATATAAGAAAACAAGGCATGGAATGGCATGATGAAAGTAGAAACTATTGTTTGGTGACAATTGTTCCAAGCTCATTCTCAACCCATCTCTATCCTCTCTAATTCCTTTAATTACCAAATGTACAATATAAATATATAAATTCTAGACTAGACTTGAATAATAATTTGCAAATATTTATAAATGCATCAAAAATAAGACTGATGTGATTTTTCTAATGCATTTTCCCACTCCTTTCATAACGGTAGAAACTTTCCAATGGTTTATCACATAGTGTGGTTTTGATTATGAAGAGAAGGGGATTAGGAGTCATTTGACAGCAGCTCTACTTTAATGCAGTGTATACTATTTCAGAAAGCTAACTACATTCAGTGTTGTCCTTTACGAACTCATCTACTTCACTGTCCTCATCTACATAGTCTCTATCTTTAGGCAGAGCAGTTGTCATGGCCCCATTGGCATAATACATGGGCAGTTTCTCATATCCTTGTTGCCAGCAAAGCTTTTTACGACTCCGTGCTTGCAGTAAGCCAAATATTACAACGAATAAGATAATTATGAGAAAAACACTGAAAATTGCTGCTCCGATATAACTGGGCACAGAAGAGGAAGATGTGGGTTCCTCTGCCATGTTGGCATATTTTACAGTTCTTTCCTCAATACAGCCGCCTGAAACATATAATAAAAATCATTATTGCCATATTATCAAAATTACTATTTAAAATGTAAGGAGTGGTATCGATATGGAGAACTTTTTGAACACACATTCTCTTAAACCAGTCATAAAAAAATCCTAAAATTTAAGACATCGTCAACTTAATGGTCATCTTTTGAATGGTAACAATATAATTTGAAAAATATATATATACTTTCATCTATATTGTTTTAGAAAACACATCAAACACTTGTTTTGTTCTTGGTATCATGTTTCCAGAGTGAAATGAAACATCTTTCCGAACCTCATTGGAACAAAACGACATAAACACAACATGTTTAGGTCTCCCAATATTGTAATTGTACAAAGGAAATTTTGGTTGATTTAAAAGTATCTTGTTAATGAAATAAAAGGTTTATCTTGATTTTTATCTATTTTGGGGGGATTTTGTTTTAATTTTTTGAATACTTTACTAAAATCAACCAAAAATTCCTTTGTATAACTATAATATTGAGAGGTCTAAAAGCATGTTGTATATGCTACTTTGTTCCAACAAGGTTCGGAAAGACATTTTATTTCATTCTCAAGAATTGGTAAAAAGGAGCAAAAACAATTGCACTAAAAAAACAAAAAATGTTAACAAAAACAGTTATTTAAAATATTTCTAAATAATTTTCTCATTAAATTGTTGTCAATCAGTCAACATTACATAAGATACCGTGTTTTTTACAGAATGTTTTCAATGATTGGTTTAAGAGAAAAACATTGTTGAATTCAGTTCTCCATACCGATACCACTCCTTTGATATTTTGTGGCCTGCCATCTTTCAAGATCTGAGACAAGAAGTATAGAGTAACTTAACAGGAAAAGAGCTAAAATTCAACTTAATCTACATTGAAACCATATGAGGGCAGTGTGATGTGATTGCAAGGAGTATTCTTCTAACTTTTGAAGTACTGAGCAACCTTTGTACAATTTAATATACAGGGTGGTCCAAAAAAGTGAACCCCTGCAACAGGCTATATTTTCCGTAATACATGCATGAATTGACTCATATTATCACATCTAGAAGAGAACAGTCTAAAATTTTTCTTGATGCCGTGATTTATTATCTTGAACTTTCAAGAAATTTCAAGACTTTAACAAACGTGCCTAAAATTAGATATTGTGCAAAATTTTACCAATGTGATTCATGGAAATTGTTTAGATATAAGTTTAAACCATACCATATGACAAATGGGACACTATTTGGGCAGAAAACACATTTCACACTTTCATTGACCATTATAAAGCAGTTTTAACCGTTCAACAGTTACCTACACAAACTGGTAGAGGCAAAGTACCCTCCTTTTTTGAGGTATTCCAACAAGACTTACTGTATGTTATAGAATCCTTTTCATTAAGTATACATGTATGTTCCAATGTTGACTATTACATTACTGAATTGTACTCCTATTACTGTTGAATGTTGAAATGTGAAACCAAGACAGGCGGAATCAATCAGTTAGAGTGGCTTTAATTGTGGAAAACTTGAAACTCTTGTGTCTTAGTTCACTGCAGGCGGCAAGTTTGAGCTTCTCTGAGTGTAAGTAAGTATTGTAATTTACTATTTAACAAAATATGAGGCTGTTCAGAAGAAGAGGGGTTTATAAGTTACCTTAGATATAGGCATTGTGGGACATCAGAGAGGATTTTATAATGCCTAAGAGGGGCCTTAAAGAGCTTATATCCTTATTAGAATACATCTTGAAATGAAACAAAAGAATCCAAAGATTGAATGATCTCGTAAGTAGTTTTCAAATATAATGAAGGATTTATTATCTACTTTATAGTGAATATTTTCACTTATTATTCTCTATAAGGTTGATTAAATTTGCTATTGCTTTAATGCTTCATCGAGATGCTTTTTAAGTGCATTTCTTTTATTTATTAATGGAAAACATGTTTGGCCCGTGTACCCCCATTGGGGGTTCATTGACTCAACCATGGGCTTTCAACTAGTTGAAAGCCCATGACTCAACAAAGCATTACATGCATGTGATAGCAATATATAAGTTCTCAAGACTATTAGTCATTTGCATTGGCATGAGCTGTATTAGCCAGCACTTAGCATCCAATTCAAACATTTGTAATTCTAATATAGCTTTTTAAGTGAACAGAGATACAAAAGTACTAAATTGAATAGTTCCCCTGAAATAAAGGTTGATTCAGAATTATTATGTGATATCATTTGAGTATACACTGCATACACTTATTTATCTTTTCCCTACAATCTCAAATACAATATATACCAAAAGATTTGTGGTATGTAATTATTTGGTGAAGCTTTTAAGGATTCAAAGTGCAAAAATGGGGAATACGTGTTTAAATTCTCCAAAATAATAAAAAATGGTAACTATAAAAAATAATTGTAAAAATCTTTAGTTTTCCTCGAATGAAGTTTACACATGAGCCAAAAATATTCTAAAATTAAAATCTTGCTAAGATCTGATTCACTCATTTAATTTTTCTTCTTTACTTTGTGGCTAACATTAAACTTAATTTGCTAACACCAAAATATCAAAAAAACGTAGCCATATCAAGAGAATCAAGTAATGTTATGTCCAGTTCAGGGTCCCTTTTGGCATTTTGGAGATCTGTAGCAGTTGCAGAAAAGATGAATAAGAATGAAATATCATCTAATGTATCTGAAATTATTTTGAGAATTTCATTTCACTTTAAACATGTTTGAGGATGCTATTACAGCGACACTATTATATTGATCAAAAACACCTCACAATGTAGTATATAGTCTAGCAGATTTTTAAGATCTCATTACAATGAATTAGACTGCAACAGCAGTTGAAATATTCCACGAGACCTTATATTATGGTTTGCCTGGGAATGTGATGACAAAGTGTTATACGAAACCATTAATCAAAAAATGTTCCACTTTTAGCTCAAGTATAACAGCTACAGCACCATATGATTGCAAGAACAGTTTTTATGTGCAATAATAAAATTTAGTACTTTAGACTTGTATTGTGATTTATCACTTCCATTTTTAGCAATTAATATGTTTTTAGTAAAAAAGTGTTGTTGTTTTCGTGTCATGTAGAGAAAGTGTTGGTGTAATATGAGATCTTCTCAAAGAGGCTCCTGAAGGGGAAGTTAAAACGTGCAAGCTTGGAATTATTCATTTTTAATTTCACAAGGATTATAATATTATAAGCACATCCTCTGCACTACTGAGTGTAATAGGAAATACTCATGGGTGCTATTTCATGATATTTCATATAGGAAGTACATGTAGTCTCACTTGTAGTAGGGGGTTGATATTTTTAAGTTGAACATTCTTTACACATCATTTTTCAATTTTGGTAGCACCAATTCAGTATAATTCAGAATTAAAATAAATAATTTGTTTCAGCAAAGATATATCAACAGACCTATCGGCAGTCTTTGATTTTTAAAAGTACATGTGTCTCCAAAATTGAAAGCAAAGAATAAATTCCTCAAATCTTGACCATTCTATAACCAAAGTGGTATAACAAGGCATCCAGTGAAAAGGTTTTCTTGGACTTGATCATAATGGCGAGAAATGGCATGCACCTAATAAGTCAAGATGGCTACCCAAAAGTTAATCAGGTTTAAAAGGGTTTTACATCTTAATGCAGCTGTAAAAGTTAAAATTGAATCCAATGAGAATAATGGCCACCATTACCCTCCCCTAAACCTTATTAGATCTTGACACTAGTCTTGGCACAGCTCTTGTTATTATGGTAATAATAAATACCGGTATGTTAAAGGATAAATACTTTTCTGGCTATTTTGATGACAAAAATTCTCGTTCTGAATTTGAAACCCTTTTCATTCAGAGAATTTAATTTCTTTTACTGAAATCTGTGGGTAGAAGTTCTTCCATTTTGTTGTGGCAGTGGCACAAAAGAGGATGCAAAGAGTGTTTTGGGCATTTTGTTTTTAAATCTTCACTGGCCTCCTTATTTGCAGTGCTGGTTGTTATGAGCTTTGAGCGCTGCCAACATATGCCCAGGAAAGTGTAAGACAATAGGGGCTTCACTTCATAGGTTTGAGACCTTGGCGAGTCTCATTTTCATGTGACTATTGGTAATTTGGATATTTTCAACTAGCAGAATTTTGACACAGTTATTTTCTTGAACTCAGCTTCAAAGGATTTTTTAATTTTAACGGAAAAAGAGTGGGCTTAATCCCAATTGACACAATCTTAAAATGTTGATTTACTTTTATTCAGTATTTCTTTTCTACTATTTTCCCCATGGTATATTTGACTTAATTACATCATATTTAATACTACTTACCCTTTGAGGAATGGCATTTACAGCAGTTTTGGTTTGGATTTGTCTCTGAGCAACATTTCACACATCTACCCTCTTTTGACATGTATTCAGATTCCTGGGAACAACTTGTACAATCTGTGGCCCCAGAACCTGTACAAGTCTTGCAGCTTGGGGCACACTTTGAGCAATTCTGAAAGAACACGAGTTAATATACATACAAAAGTGCAATTTTGTTGACCTACCAGGCGACACTAATTAAAAACTACCAAAAGTGTCATTAGACAGTGTGCCATGCTTATAGTATTCACATACCAAATATGAACAAAATCACTCAGCTACTTTTCGAGTTATAGTTATGACCAAAAGTGTCATTAGACAGTGTGCCATGCTTATAGTATTCACATACCAAATATGAACAATATCGCTCCACTACTTTTCGAGTTATAGTAAAATATGTTCAAATGGCGGCCTTCTACAATAAGTGTCATTAGACAGTGTGCCATGCTTATAGTATTCACATCCAAATATGAACAAAATCGCTCCACCAATTTTCGAGCAAAAATTGTAAAATAACGAGTAAAGGCCGCCATTTTTCAAGATGGCTGCCACAAAAGCCTGCCATGTGCTTCTTTAATATCTACATTTCTAGCTTTTTTAATGTCCTATATAATTTTTTACATTTAAAACATATTCCTATTACAGTTTTACATATTCAGACTTGCCAACCTCCCGTTTTTTTACGGCAATCTCCCGTAAATTTTTTGTTTTTCCGTAAAAAATACCAAACTCCAGTACCGTTTTCTCCCGTAAAATAGAGGCTGACGGTAATTCCGGTTATACGGTTTCCATACGGAATTGAGCATTTACCGGTATTGAAATTATTAACCGGTTAATCGACGATAATCCCCGGGGAAATAAAAGACACATCGTTTTTTAAATTATTTCGTTTAATTTCCACTTTCAAGGTGCATACAATTACATAGACATTAAGATGTCCATGTTTGGCAGTTCAGGTGTGATATCCATGTTTGGCAGTTCAGGTGTGATGTCCATGTTTGGCAGTTCGGGTGTAGTAGCTTCATGCTCAGGCTCAGATTTGGTTGTAGTTACGTTGGCAGTTCCGGTGTAGTTGTAGTGTCAACTTCAGATCCAGAAACTGAATTATGTTTGTAATAGTCATTTACGAACAACAAGGCATTGACAACCTCAGGTTGAAGTCGTGCCTGTTTGGAAGTGATGGTGTTGCCAGCTGCACTGAACTGACGTTCACTTGACACGGATGACGCAAGAATAGCATGATATGTTTCAGCCAAACTCGCCACATCAAGATAGTTACATACTATTTCGTGAAGTTCATCAGTATGGGTTCAAATCGGTCTTGCACCATGTATGCATATAGACTAGAGAAGCTACGGAGAAAGTTAGGAACAAAGTGGGGGTGGCAGCGCATTGGCATTTTATCTTACATATTTTTACCAGTATTTCGGTAACGGTACGGTTATTAGCATGACGGTTACCGGTACTGGTTTTCAGTACCGTTGCGACCTATACCGTAAAAACTCCCGTACCGTATTTCTACTCAAATCTCCCGTAATTTTTTTTAAAAATATGGCCGTAAAATCTCCCATATTTTTGCTGAAATCTCCCGTAAAATCTCCCGTATTCTGGTATAACTCCCGTGAAATCTCCCATATTCTTGGTATAACTCCCGTAAAATCTCCCATTTTCTGGTATAACTCCCGTAAAATCTCCCGTATTCTTGGTATAACTCCCATAAAATCTCCTTTTTTGCTATCGAAATCTAGCGTATTTAAAAGGAACTTGACAAATTTGTGACCTTGATTATTGCAGGCACGCTTCTTTCTTTTACTCCAAGAAGGATTGGCTCCCATGGTTCACTATCGATACTTTCATAAATAACTTAAAAGTACTTCATTCCCATGATTCAAATTGCTTTTCTGCGATCAGTTCGGTATAAGTTTGCACAGCAAATGTCCACAAACGGGGGCCAGTTCATATTCTGTCATACTTCTGTCGGGAGAATACATTTTGTTTTTATATGGCGCTAAACAAAATATTCCCGCAATATAAGGCGCATTATGGGTAGGGACTGCTGTGAAATAATGAACATAAGTGACATCTATCTTAGATTATAAGTTCTAATTAATTTATTAACTGCGCATGCGTCATAATAATTTCAAGCAATTAAATCGCTGGATTTAATGCTCATCCGCGAAAAACCGAACCTAAAAATGGAACCTCACGCAGATTGCCCTTTGCATATAGTGAAC